CTCTCCTATACATCTTATTAAAAGATTTAAGAAGATGAATTGTCACCATTATTATACCTACAACACTTTGTAACTTAATAACATGAGAAATATAACAATGATGACTGAAGACTAGGATAACTTGTATGTCATTTTAAACTAACATTTTTTAACATCACCAAAGAAAAGAATAAAAGCCCAACAAAATTACTTATTCTTCGAGACATGTAACAAACATATCAATATATGACATGACATTTATATATAATTCATTAAAATTAACTTCATATATTTAATGAGTATAAGTTTTTATCCATGTAATAGATAAATCATCACACACTTACTTATTTAATTCACTTACACTTTTCCTTTTTACACTTTTTTCATATTTATCATTCACAATTGTATCAAGAATTAGTTTATGGTTTGACTAGCTGAGCAATAATGATGGATTAGAATCCCTATGTTGAAAATCAGCACTAGTCGGAAATTTACATCCATATACATCCAATTCATATCCATCAATTTAAGTATAATTCATGTTTTCATTTCTCAAATCACACGGCTTTAAAGAATTCTAAATAATACAAAACTCGTAACATATAGTTTTATCCAATATGGTATATAGATCATGCCCATAAAGACCATGAATCATTGGAATCACAAGTGGAATATATAAAAACACCCATTGCAGATCACTTTGTACTCTACCAATATTCCATATAATGAGATTGTCTAAAAAAGTTATGTTAGTGATCTTTCTTCCACCTTTGCCATTCTTTAAATCTCATAAAGTTTAAATAAAATTGCGTGTTGTCTCCTAAAGTTCTTCATTCTATAAAATCGATCAAAAGTTTTCCCTTTAATAGGCAGGGTTAACTGCAATAAGTTATATATGATATAAAAGACTGTGGTCATGACAAACCGCTTTGAAGAAGAAAGCATAGTAGTATCCAACAAACCCGGCATTAGAAGAAGAACCATTGACGAAATACCGGAACTCTGCACGTCTGAAATCCGGTGAGAACGGGAATCGTACCTACATTCCGTCCCGGTCAATCAGCCGGACGCAAATGCTGTTTCAAACAGCCCGGTCCTAGGTCGAAGTAAACTCGACCCGGTAATGGGGTTAACTAACAGGTAGTGTGGTAGGGTGTTGGTCAAGGGTTAAGGAATCGAATGCGATACCGGAATCCGGACGGAGTACGAGTGGCGCACGGGTTTTGCCCGACCGGCGATCCGGGAGCGTTGCCGGCCGGAGATGACAGTCGCTGGCTCTCATCATGCACGCCAAATGACAGTGTACTTCAGTACAGAGAGATGGATCTGCTGCTGATCTGAAGTTCTGAACCAGCGCAGAGCAGGCAGCAGAGCCCAGGCTTTTCATCTGGCAGGCACGGATTGTACAATCCGTATTCTACGGACGTCAGAGTCTCGATTCATTCGTCACGTGAGAGTCGTGTCCACATCGACTCCACTAGCAGCCATCGGCTCTATTGTAACAGCTCCCTCCCCACGCTGTCACAGCCACGCTGCCTCGTAAGAGTCGTACTCTTACGTATCGTGATACGTATTACGAGCCGGGCCATGGTCTCGTCCGTGGCGAAGAATGTTGTGATCGTTTCTAGTCCATGAGACCCTTTCCACATTATGATTTTTCTTTCATTGCCTTCTGAAACTCTGATCCAACGTGACCGACTCAGAGACTCGATGACTCACTCTTGGACGCTCGTCTCGAGACTTGCGTAGAGTTCGATACGATTTCATGAGCGATGGGGCCTCGTGATCAAGCCTGATGACTCATGGCTCCCGCGTAGGAACTTGTGGAAGAGAAGTTTTCCGTGGACCTACTCTTTCCTTTAAGTTTCATCCTCTCTCTCTCTCCCTCTTTGGTCTCCTGATATGCACTTTTCGCGCTTCTCCAGGCACGTGATTTCGATCATCGAGTCTAATTATCCTCCGCTGCCAGTTCGTTCGTGCATTTTTGCATGTTGTAAAGCATGACTTTGGATTTGCAAATCTAACATTCTCCTTTCTTCTACAGCGCACTGTATCATACATTGTGATCGTATTAGTCATCGTGCAGTCAATTTGGGAAACGTCTCACTCCTGATGGAAGACCAACTTCCACAACTCTGGGCCCGAGGCAAGTGAATGAGTTCTTAATCTCTTACTCACCTGAATGGAATCTAGATGGTCCAACAAAAAAAACAAAACAACAACAAGAAGTTGAGCGAATCGGCCACTAAAGCAACAACTTAAGCGGGCTGGAAAGAGCTGAGAGAACGAGAGCAGGAATCAGAATCAGTATTTTCTGGAGGCTTCATAATAATAAGAAATGCAGAGAAAGTTGAGCATGATGGTGTTAATTTACTCGTATCGAACCAAAAGACGAGATGCTTTCCAACCGCATAGGTCAGATGATGATGATGATGATGACTAACTTCGCTCATCGAGCGACGGGAAGATTATATCATGCCGACCTTGTGAACGAAGCCGCCCCCATGATTGGCTTGGCTACAGAGTCCTCACGATTCTTCGGGACGACCTGTACTGCGTCACAGCACTGGAGTAATAATCATTATTGATATGTCAGCGACCTGAAAAACGTTGTGCATCAGAGCTAAGATTTCCACCCTGTGTTAGACTCTTGAGGACCTCCTCCGTCATTGCTAGATCTTGAGCTGACCAGAAATGTAGACTGAAAGGCCAGTCAAAGGCCGCCGGGCCAAAAGCAGGGCCTACGACATCACGTATGAGGTGAGGAACGGCTGAGCTTCAAATTGCGTTCAATGTTGGACATTTGTTTGGTATCTTACACGTATGAACATGTAATCTCAGGGGTCTCTTGAGGAGCTCCGAGGGTCATGGTTCCATTCATAGGACCGAGTGTCTTTGTTGTTCCCGCACCTGGTTCAAAATTTTCTGCAGGGAGTTGCTGCGCTCTCCGCGAATCATTGGGCTCCAGAGCTGATGGAGCTCGTTGGGGAAAGAAGCCATAGCAACTCGAGTCTAGAGGAGGAGAAAATTTCTGGTAAAGTGAAAAGATTCGCATATCACTTTTTCACTCTGAGAATTTCAGGTGAGCACGTCCAGATACTCGAATGGTCTAATTTTGTTACGTAATACTCTTTTCGCTGTTGAAGTCCTCTTGTTTCAGTCAGGGATACGAGTTTGGAACCTATACTGCAACATCTGGGCTCGCCAAACGGTACTACGTTTCCAGATCTCTGACAACTAGACGTCACGTTCTCGCCCAACCCTTCCTCTTTCGACACATGGAGAACTCAACTTGCAAGCAATTATCCGGCCTCAACTTCCTTTGGGACATGGGCTCGCAAAGTAGTGCCGCTGTTACGCATCTGATCTCAAAGAACTTCACTGGCAAATGCATGTCTGCTAAGTAAGTGCTAGACTATGGTTCAAGCTAATCACAAGCAGACATAGCATTTAATTTCATCTTCTCCTTGTCAACAACCATATATCCGAGCCATTATATACTCCTATGCTATTCTAAGGTTCACATGTCGCTGCCTCTCAGATGTATAGTATTCACTTTCCTTATCGAGACTGCGTCGACTTTTTAACCCGCCCCTTCGCTTCTCAGAGTAATTTTCTTTTCATTTTCCTCGTGACCTTCTCATGACATGCAAGGCTCATGGGAAAGTTGAACCTTTTCCGACTTACCGTTAGTTTTCGAGTACTGTAATCCGTGGAATGTTCATGATAGCGTGCATGGTCGAAAGGCGATGGGGGTGTCAGGCACGGCCGGATAAGATCTACTACGAAACTGGCCCTTAAGAGTTGTGCCGCTCTGATCCAGAAAAGCAGCATAACAGTGTAGGAGCAAAATGCTAAATGGTTCAGCCGCGCGTTGGCGACTTTAGGCTCGTCGAGATGATGGGACAAATGTTCACTGGAGGAGAATTTGTGTGCTATGTTAACGAAGCTCAGACGAAGGGAGCCCAGAAAAAGCGTAGGCTGATTTGGAAAGTATGACTACGTTTTATAGCTTATATCATTGTAAGCCCCGTTGGCTGGCCCACCATTAAGCATAACATTGATAACGTTTTAAGGGCATTGAGAGACAAGCTAAACCTTGACACGCAGCAGCAGGTGACAAGATAAAGTTCATGTGGAAGAAGAATCAAGTCTAGGAATAATATAGACTCATTTCATCGAAACAGCTACTGACACCTCCCTGGATGCTTTCGGACTGACTTCTTCCACATCCGCTTTTGCAAGACCCAACGACCATTCATACTTTCCATTAGGCACATGCATGCATTTAGAGACTGCAGCACTCGCTAAAGGAGAGGTGAGAGCACTTTCATTGCAACCTCTCCAGTCCACGGAATGCTGCTCGGTGACATGCGATCTGACACAGTGCCCATGGACAGAAAAAAGTCCGACACAAGCGTAGATTGATCCTCCAAGTAGGATAGTTGACTGACAGCACCCACTTCTCAAGCTTGAGCATGATCAGGTAGGGGGACAGCTTTTTTGTACACCTACATATATAAAAGGCTACTGGTTTCACAGGATTTGCTAAGAAACATCCGCCTTGTGTTGGGGAATTGACTGTGTATGCCACTAATCCAAAGCCATGTGGCCACTTGCACCAGACACAATCTCACTTCCCTGTCGTTGCCCTCCAGTCAACGCGATGTATACTGAATCATATGTTTTCTACTGAGTATAATAAAATCACGAAAAGTATATAGATAATTCAAACCTCCTTTGTCATCATGCGATCGCAGAGGGTAGCGTGTGATGAGTATGTTCAAATCTGTAAGTCTCGTAGTTATCAACTGGCTTAACAATTAGCTTAGTACGAAGATAACGTCTACCTTCCTTGATCCGAATCAACTGGCCAAGGTTTTATACACTCGATGCAACATTTGTCTGATGCACCACCAGACAGCATGTGTGAGGAAGTCCCAGAGCAGAAAACTATCACTGATCAAATCCATTGGCATATGCAGAGCAGAGACAGGTGAGACGTAACAGCACTGCGAAAATAAGCCAATCTGCGTGACTGCAGAATTTTACATTATGTGAGACTGCCAACTTAGGCAGCGCCAAACATTCATTGGATTCAAACACCTCACCCACTCACTCTAGTCGGGTTTTCGGACCAAACACCAGCCGAACAGCTAAGTTTTCTCAAATCGGACACCGAATGTCGTACTCTTGAGCATATTCGCTTCTCACATTCACGTTCTCCAACAACTCTACAGTTACTCCTCGGCCTTTCCTCAAGAATCAATATTCTATCTCCCTAATCTATCAACAAGTGCCTCTGTCTCCACAGTAGCTCTTCGGCGGCTCAGAAGACGAAGCCACTTCTCCAATCTCGAGGATAATGAGATTACATATGTAGGGACCGGTCTGGATTGCAGGTCGCTTAGTATGTCTGGCGCACTTAGTCACCTGTTCCAAACCTCTTCAGGTTTAAGATTTGCAAAAAAGAGCACCGACGCAATTGGCATCGAGGTTTACCCACAAGCCTTGACGCCCTTCTTTTTACAATCAGGCCTGTGGAAATTTGTTGCATGACTGAAGCCTTCAAGGCAGCCCCATTCTACGAACTCAGCCGACTTATCTCGGCCATCACCAGCCAATATTTCGAATAATAATTTCGTCATTGTAGATTATACTGTGTACGCTTGCTGAATAGTGTCGATATCTAAACCCTTCATACGGACGACCGATTCCACATGTCCCTTCAGCGTATTCAACTCTCTCAACCTGACAATGATTAACAATGTTAGTATTCACGATAACTGTAACCAAGTACAGTTGTAAGACCAACAATAGCCTTCAGCACATTCCGACGAAGACTGTTCTATGGTGGATAATTGAAGCCCAAACCACTAAACAAGATCTTACCTGGCAATCTCGGCACGCCTCTTCGCTTGCTCGGCAATATCGTTTAACTCCTTGTAACTTCCTCTATCTCCAGCCATTTTCACGTCCGGGGATTGAAGACCATGTAGAGTTCTCTGAGCGTGAGCCCATTTCATTTCACGAGCCTCCTTTCCGAAATCCTTCTGAGTGGTGAAGGCAGTCTGCACAGAGAGGATACAATAAAATTAGCTTTTCTATTCCAGCAGCTGCGAAGTCCCAATCCCCGTGTATCAACGCACATGTGTAAAACTCCACGCTTAATCGACCTACCAATACGCCTAGTAAAGCAGCATTATTCATCGTTCAAGAAAGTGATAACACTCACCCTTTGGTTGATCATGTAATGCCATGCGCGACCGCTGAGAATATAACGTACGAGGAACTTTATGATGTCAAGGGGGATGTAAAATATCAAACTGTAGAGCCAAATGACTCCAGCCCAACCCCATCCAATACCCTTGATGAAAGCGAAGGACCAGTTGGCGTACACAGCGATGAAGGTGGCAATCTGCACCAGATATAGACATCATTAGACACCTCCAGGTTGGCCAATCTTATCATTAGTCATCGCAAACACAGGATCGGCATTCAAGTCCATTGCAGACAAAGAGTATGTACCAAAGACAGATAAATGGATTACCAGCTGAGCGATCCAGAAAGCGGCCACCAACAGAAATCCAGGACGCTCGAGGAAAGACCAACTTCGAGAACGGGTGACGAAAATGAGCGCCTGACTGACAATGCTGACTTGCAAGTATACAGCAGCTGTCAACTCATTCCTATCGCCGGAGATATCTCGGACACCAAACTTTTCCTGTTACGAAACATTCATCGGCACAACAATTAGTGATTGTTTAGAACAATATAAGGGAACCCGCAATTGCACGTTCCACAATCGACACGTTAATCAAAAAAAGCTGGTCTATTACCTGGAAAAATGTAGTCTTGTGTGCTAACCAGAAGAACACAACGGTCATAACAGCAAGATAAGTTCCCAGTACGACACCGGTGGCAAAAATTTCTTTCAACTTCCAGCTATCAGGCAGAGGAGAAGGTTTCACTCTGTCCTTGGAGATCGTCATGATAGTACCTACAAACGACAGGCGTGGAAAACTTAGTTCAATCTTTCCGATGACAACGATCTGCGCCATATTCCGCTGTGCACATTCAAAGCCGGCATAATTCCACTACATTGTCATCATAAAGTCAAAAAAATTGAAGACCTACTGCCGGACAAAAATTGTGAAAAGGCCTACTGCCGGACACAAACTTTCCTGTACCTCTCCAGACTGTGCAGCAAAAACAAATTTACTTACCATCGTTCAATATCGCAATAATCAGAACCATGAAAGGAGAAAAGTCGAACTTCCAAATGAGAGCCAAGAGCAAGAAACCGAGCTGCGGGGAAGGAAAAATTCAAAGTAACCGTTAATATGTTTACCGAAAAAACGTATATGATCCCAACATGATTCTGACACAAGAACACGCGACTTAGCTGCTTCCTCTGAATGTACGAGAACGAGTTAGCACAATGCAATTAAAGTGCAGCTGTAACGTACCACAATACGAATGGTGATGGACACAGCGTAAATCTGCCACAGAAAAGACATCGTAAACCAGTCAGATATGTAAACTCTCACTTACTTCCACTCCATCGAATTTTTGGACATTCGTGCACTTCCACAAGATTCACCGAATTCGGATCGACCAAATTTGTGATAAAGTCACCACAATACAGTACTTACTGTATAGTTCTTCATCCTTTGGAAAATGGCACGACTGGTCAAAACTGCACTGATGATGACACTTAGACCAGGCTCAGTGAGGACAATGTCGGACGCACTTCTTGCCGCGTCTGTAGCATCGGCTACTGCTATTCCGATATCTGCTTTCTTAAGAGCTGGAGCATCATTAACACCATCACCAGTCATACCGCAGATGTGCTTCTTCTCTTGGAGACGCTTCACGATTTCGTACTTGTGCTCTGAAACAAGGAAAACATTGGTTATCTTCGTTCATCTTGCAGTTGATTATTCGTAATAAAAATAACACTCCCCCTTTGTTAGCTCATTAACGTTCTCGTTCTTTATGATCCACACGGAGGTCAACATCCTTCTTTGGGTTAGAAATGATCACCAATCACAGAAATAAACAAGCGTTGAGCTGTAAATACCTGGGAACACTCCAGCAAATCCGTCAGCCTTCTCAATCAACTCATCGATAGGGAGAGCGGCAATAGCTTCATCCTTGTGCTGACCCAATAGTGAAGACGACGGGTACATGTTGATACCCATACCAAGACGACGACCAGTTTCCTTCGCAATTGCAAGTTGATCACCTGCAAATGTAGTTATTCCCTTCATTAGGTTCATAATGAAGGGAACTGATGGTAGATGTGACGAAGAAAACCTGTGTACCGATTATTTATGCATCCGTGAGAACGTCTGGTGTACATCTATGACTTGTATAATTACCTGTAATCATCTTCACGTTTACGCCCAAATTCAAAGCACGGCGAATAGTTTCAGCACTGTCGTGTCGAGGAGGATCGAAGAGGGGCAGCAATCCACAAAATTCCCATGGCCCACCAGCACTCTCCTTGGTTCCTTCAGGAATTTTCTGTATCACATACAGCAGTTACTTGTTACATGCTATCCAGATTGAACATTTTATAGCTTGTTCATAATCACACAAAAGTATTGACACCACCACTGACAGAGCTCTCTGGTATGAACAGAATCACCCAGCGATGGGAGACAATCACCTGACGTGCGACAGCAAGAGATCTTAAACCGCGCTCGGCAAATTTATCAATCACAGCATGCACTCTTGAACTGATGATGTCCTTGTTGTGGGCAAGTTCCAGAATCTTCACAAGCCAAACGATCGTAGATTTAGTCAAAGCGACACGCATTTGTAGAAGACGCCAAAAACATCGTGATAAATAGCAAAACAGTGGCACTTTCGAAGTAGCTCAAACCTGCTCTGGTGCACCCTTGCTAGCCCTGTGCCAGTGACCTTCGTTATCAACGTAGGTCAAAGCAGTTCTCTTGTCTGTTGGATTGAATGGCAGAAAGTGAATCTCCTGAACACCTGCTCTGGCCTGCGACGAAATTATAAATAAAAATAAGCCAACGAGAACCTTGAGCAAGATACAGTAACAAATAAACTACTTATCGTCTGATCGTCTATACTATGACCTTCTGCAAGACTACTTGAAGCTTGTCGAACTGGAGATATAGGATCCACTCACTTCTTTCGGATCCGCAAGCATGTTCACGATAGCTGCATCGATAGCATCTTGATTTTCCGTTCTTGATGCCCTCGCCGCAAGCAGCACAACCATATCCTTGTCAACTCCAGGAGTAAACGTCTGGAAAATATGCAGACCACAACAGTCAATACTGATTGTTTTACTATATGATAACACGTTTGGCCAATTTTCGAAAAGGAGAAGCTTGTGCGACGACGGTTTCCAGCTGGAAACACCTTGTCAATACCTCAATCAAGTTCTTGTCAACCGTCAGTTTGTTGAGGGTTAATGTTCCAGTTTTGTCACTGCAGAGAACATCCATGCCAGCCATCTCCTCAATAGCTGTCATCCTCTTTGTAATAGCACCCTGCAAGAGGACACGGGAACGTCAAACACGGAGCTTCAGATCACATCTGATCTCTCACTCGGGTACTTAAACTTCGACATGGGTTGAAGATTTCATTGAGAATTACAATACCTGCTGTGCAAGACGGTGAGATCCGATAGCCATCGTCACCGAAAGAACGGTGGGCATGGCAATTGGAATACCTCCGATCAATAGAACCAAAAGATTGTCGATACCTGCACGGTACTTCCGATCCTGAATAGCGAACATCACCACGATCTCCACCAACATACCGATAGCGATGGAGCATATACAGAAATTCCCAATAGCTGTAAGGACCTGTACATTACAACCAATTTCTCGAATTAGTTAACTGAAGGTGCAGATTTTATGGCTGTTTGAGGCAAAACGACAATCTCTGAAAGACACGAACAATTGATACCTTTTGAAAGTGTCCCACTTGATTGGTGCTGTCTACCAGATGAGCAGCTTTACCAAAGAAACTGTGAACTCCAGTGGCTATGACAACAGCTTCGACTTCTCCTTGTTTGCAGGTGGATCCAGAATACACACCATCTCCTGGGTGCTTAGTGACGGGTAGAGACTCTCCAGTAAGGGCAGACTGCAACAGCAAGAGAAGTCAGCCCACGACTTCCAAACCCCCACTCACTACGTGAAGAACATTGATAGAAACATGGGATGACGGTGAGACAATTAAATCCATGTCGCTGACCTGATCAATTTTTAAAGGATCTCCTTCCAGAAGGCGAGCGTCCGCCGGGATGATATCACCAAGTTTGATGCTCACTATGTCACCAGGTACTAAAATAACTGCATCTTGTTCAGCCCATACTCCGTCACGAAGCACCTGTACCACACTCAATGGATATTACTGTCTGATGTGCAATATGTCTCCTCAACCGACATTTGATTCATAACTGTTCTCATTGAGGCACCAAAGTCTTCGAATTGAGAGAAATTCGAAAACCACAAAGTTAGAGAGACCGAGTTGTGAGAATATCGAACACACAGGAGGATGAAACACGGCCCCAAAGACAATAACACATTTCGACCCCATACATCTTCCAGCTGGAAAAGAGAGTCACCTTCGACTTAGGAGCAAGCCGAGCCATCAATGCGGCAGCTGCGTTTCCAGCATTGTTTTCTTCGATGAAACTAATGGTTGAGTTGATAACCAGAAGGGTGATGATACCCACGAAGTCTTGCCAATCAGGAGGCCGTCCCTGAGTAACGTCAAGAGGACAATTACGGCTGCGTCAATAAGAAAGACCTTCATCGCCTGGAGGAACGCAAATCAGAACTGCCGCGTGATCGAGATAGTTCCAACCAAAAACTTTGCATCACATCCCACTTACCCCTCCATTCGCCAGAGCAATAGCCATAATCGCAGCAGCTTCCATGACCCATGACAACGGGTTCCACATAAACCCGAGGAATTTCAGAACTTTGCTTTCCTGCAATCAGAAGACATGGTGAGAACCAATATGACAACGCAATCTCTGGGTTCCACGCTCCGAGGGAGCGGAAGGCCCTCAAGGCAAGAGTCCCTATTCGAAGATAAAAAAAACCGGTCAAGCCTCGCATGCTTCGTAAGAGTAGGAGTGCGTCGGGGGAGGTCGTACCGATTTTTCTTCGAGCTTGTTGTGGCCGAAAATCACCAGACGCTCCTCTCCTTCGGCTGAGGTGAGTCCTTGCCGGGTACATCGCAGCTGCTCAAACACCTCCTCCAAGGGAATGTGTTCCTGCAGAATTTATCAACCTTCTGTTAATGTCTCTTCTTCGGCATGGCAACATTCTCAGAACCAGCTGAACAAAGCTTCCACGTTCTGCCATGGCGTCACATGCAGATCACAACAGTGGCCGGACTTTCCGGACCACAGCTGAGACACGATCTCGAGCTAATACGAGTTGCAGCTGAACAGGGAGCCCATAATACTTATGACAGAATACACAATGATGTAAGAGTATATACCAGATCGACGGTCTCATTATTGATGGACTCGAACTTGCTCATTTTTTCGTTGTCGCCCATGCTGGGCGCTTAGCGGACAGCGACCACAGCACTGCCACTGCACACTCTGTTCACCCGAAAAAAAATAACAACAACCCCTTAAAAACCGAGCGACGGAAGTCGAACCACAGAACACATTGATTTAAACGACTCGAGGCTGCGGTCCCTGGATTGTCAGGGAGAAGAGAGGAAGGAGACGAGTGCAGAGGAGAGGAGGGAGAACAAGCAGTGTCTCCGGGCGAGTCCCTGAGTACAAGTATGGCTGGGGGGAGGGGGGATTTGAGGAGAAGACCGGGATGGGCGACGAAAGGAAGACAAGGGGGAGAATCCGGAAGATTTGGAGACCGGCACGGAGTGTGCACAAGACAGCAACGAGGACACCGTGTGCAAATTCAGCCCACGAAGCGACGAGATTCTTGGGATGCGTTCCGGGACCTATGAAATGATTTGACGCCGCGGCTGCCAGTGGGTCCCCTCCCCTCGTCTTATACCTGCTCTACTCTCTTTACCACTCCTACCGCCCCCCTCTCTCCCTCCCCTCCCTCCCACCCTCTCTCTATCTCTCTCTCACTCTGCCTCTCTGCCTCTCTGCCTCTCTGCTGTGGGTTCCACCGGCGGCAGGAGCAGCAGCAGCGGCGGCACCAGAACACCCTTCCCTCACCTGGCCACTCGTCTCCTTCGCCTTGCCTTCGCGTGCCCTTCTCGGAAAAATGGGCACTCCCTTCTACCCCACAAACGAGCACAAAAGCAATGCGCTCCCCCTCCCCACCGCCCGCCCGCCCCAACCCAACAAACAACACACACACAGGTTGACGCAAATGATCGACTCGTACACAGAATCAAATCCCGCCGAAGAAACCTTTCTCCCGTCTCTGCCCTGGGCCCCAAATCCTCCTCTCCCTGCTGCTACTACTACTGCTGCTGCACATCAAATCCCACATCTCTCCTCTTCCATTCCGTTCTTTACGGTTCCCTACTCTCTGGTCCCTCCCTCGAGTCCGATCACAACTACCAGAGGAGACCGAGGCAATGATCGGTCAAACGGCCCGTCAAGCGTCGAGCGAGTCAATGGGGATGGAGGAGGAGGAGGAGGAGGAGGATGCTGGAGCTGGAGTTGGAGTTGGGGGCAGCGAAATCACTCACCGGGTGGAGAGTGCACGATGCCAGTGGCTGGCGCGAGACGCAAATGCGGGGCACGAGAGCAGATCGCAGAGTTTTGAAGACCGCCCGGCGCCCCGGGTTTTGCCAATTGCTCGCTCCCCCTGCTGCTTCTGCTGCTGCTGCTGTACTTGGTGGAGCACAGCGGGACGAGCCCGGACACGTCACCGTAGACCTTCTCGGACCGTATTGTATTCGTCACTCTGCTGACGCTACCCTCGTACTCGAGTATTTACGTATATCTGTACGTGCAGAGAGAGAGAGAGAGAGAGGCTTCTCTTCTCGCTCGCTTCATTCGCTCGCATCACAAGCTCTGCGGGTCGCACCACACCTCGTGGCTGGCCTGCCTGCCTCCCTCCTCTGCCATGGCTGATCCGCCTCTTTATGCCCACCCTCTCCTTGCGAAACGCCAACGCCAGGAGCCTTTTGTCCCGCACCTTTTCTCCGCATTCTTCTCGATGCCCCAATTTTCTGCTAACGCAAAATTATTTGGATAATGCCCCGGAGGTGGGTGGGAGGGAGGGAGGGAGGGATGGAGGTCAGGCATGGGGTCTATCCATGGGAGGGTGGCATGTCGACCCAGCGCTAGAAGAAGCCGCGAGTCCTTCCGGACAGCGGATGTGAATCATTTTCTATCCGCTTGGAAGTCAGCAGCGCTCTTAAATGTGGGAATCGAAGTGGAGAGCAGTGAATGGGTTTCAACGCAATCATTCCTTCCTCTCCACTTTTCTCGATTTATCCTCTCTTTAAGATCAAAGAAGTAAAGAGGAAAAAGTGAGGTTATGATTCACAAATGGCCCAGATTTTGTGCAAGTTGTCAACTACGCTTTGTTGATTCTTCGCAATATTGGAACATGTTTCAACGAAGTGGGTCTAGAAAATTGTGTTTCAGTATGTCAGGAGTTATTTCTCTGCTCCTGCCAACCCTAAACCCTCCAAAATTCCGTGCATGAGCACGGAATTTTGAAGCAGAATATATTTCCTTGGACAAGTGCCCTTCTTCAAGCTAGTTGTGCAACAAATATTTGTCCTCTCCTGCCATGATGCATGCACACTGTCTTGACTCTGATTCGATAAGTTACATTCCATCATTAAGTTGGAAACTAGCTTCCAGGCTTCCTTGCAAAGCTTACGAAGGCTTACGAAGCCCAACCCAGAAGCTGCGAAAAATCCTCAAATGTTTTATTTATTTATTTCCCTTCAGGTCTTCCAACTCTTTGATGGGCCACTGTCTCCTGCACGCACTTCCTTGCAGCATCACCGGAGAGAAATATGAAGGCAAGATTTCATGTATGGGCAGGAAACAGGAACTACGATCTCCGGGCAGTCCTTAACTCGTGGAGATTGTGATGCGAAAATCGATTTGAACCCACCCAATCAAGATACTTGGAACCACAGTACGCAAAAGTACAAAGGAAGGTGGCTCTATAATACTTCCCGTCAATGTCTTTTCAACCTTCCAAGCATTATGCAAACGAGCTACGTTTCTTTCGCCTGCTGTACACTACGCTAGGTCCTCGCCTGAAATCCCGACGAGTATGTAAGCCATTACCTCAATAGGGTGTCATGCAAAGAAACCTCCTCCGCATCCAACCAATCTTTTTCCGTAGCACGCCCATTTAATTTGACCCCCTCTATCCTCGGCGTAGATCTTTGGAAATCCGAAAGCTCTCTGTTCCACTGCAGCGCTGCAGTGGAACGTAGAGCTTTCGGATTTCTGAAGACCAGCTAGCTCTGCAGGGCTGCTGCAGTCATCGATAATTCTTTAATATTGCCGTTTTTTTTCCCCTTTTTTAATCCCATTACAAACTTTGTCGTGTATTTCTCTTCAGGCCACTTTATAAAGAAATGGAGATTTTATCTGGAGTTCATGCAGCACATCGAGGCAAACACTCGTACGAAACGATTCTGATCGAGCCTGTGGAATATATTGGGCAAATTCCAGCACTTGAGTAAGAATCTTCAAAGTCTGTACTTTCGATAAGGCGGAGCAAATGGTGTCCTACAACAGCAAGCGGTAATAATGCTGGACGCAAATCACTGTTGACAAAATCCACGCAGATGATTAGTTCATGCTAGATGGCTTGTCGTCCATAGCTCCATCTCCATGTACATACAGATAAGGTTGTGTGTGTATTTCCAGTTTGAAAGGCTCGAGCTAATCCGGAGGCCTACTGTATGTACTGTATCCTTTTCTCGCGCATGCATGTCGTCTAGACGACCATGGGGCCAGTCCTGCCAGATAGAAGATGTCAAACTTGAACCCGCATATAGCTTGCTTCCGAGAATCTGCCCGAGCCTCTCAGCTGTATCCCCCGAAGCGCTCCAATATCCTTGGGCAGCTTGGAAATGCATCACCTCCACCCACCGCAAGTCTTGTCATTTTGGGGATGGAATCACAATGTCCACAATCCAAGGGGGGGAGGCGATGGAGACCCGCATCCCCCCTTGGGCAGGTACTATCCATGAACCGGAGGGAGTCCCGACGGAGGTGACGACAGGGCCTGGGATCCATTCATGGATCTGTCTATGGACCCATCTGCTATGCTGCATCTGTTCCCAGACTCCCGGTGCAGAAACTACTATTACTGCTCCCAGCGGCGAGGCTTGTCCAGCAGCAGCCTCACTCACTCACTCGCTGCTGCAGGTTTAACTCTGCTCCGCTGCCGGGGTCGGTTGGCTTCCACACATTGCCCCTCGGAGGTCCATCCACGCCCCTGAAAGTCTCGTGGGCCTGGCCCAGGAGCTAGTCGGGGTTGGTGAGAGTCTCTAAGTTTTCGTGGCCTCCATTGGCTCTGTCTTCACCACTTTCGTGACGACCTGGGCTCTCTCTCAAAGGCTTCATTCACTTGATTCCACTTCTCTGTATTCTCTCGCTCTGCTGGACCTGCTGCTGCTGCTTGCTGCTGCATGGTCCTCCGCGAGCATGTGATCCAGTAAGTTTGTAAGTAACTCCGATGGGTGAATGGACCATTGCACATATGGCCCCTGCTTCCCCGGGTGGGCTGTGGTGGGCTAGGCTGGGATGGACTCTCATGAGGGGGGGGGGCAGTCTTAACAAGAGATTAGGACGGGTTAGTGACTAATGCGCCAGCGAATGTGCTTTGGCCGAGCTCGGACTGAAGCTGGAGGGAGATTCCATGGAACTGATGCTGCTCCTTCGCTGCAAGTTGAGGCAGCAGTTGAGCTGCAGCTAATTCTTTTGGTTGTTAAACACCCGATCGATCGGGTGAGGAGGTGGGATTGCAGCGATTGTGCTTCGGAGTAGCTTCAGAGGGCGATCCAGCAACAATTCGTTGTGGACGAATATGATGTAATGAGGATTCCTCTGTCTGGGCTATCTATGGCCTTCTTATCATGAGAAATATATGAACATGCTGCTTCTTCTGTGTGTGCGTTTAGAGTCGAGATGAGCCTCGTGTAATCGTAATTTCGTCTCCACTTATCGAGTCTGGGGCCCCAGTATAAAGTACAGCGTCGTTCATCTTTGTTCATCATCTGCACCACAATCATCTTACAAGTGCGAACATTTTCGACTTTTTCCTCCTGGGAACCAATTTGTCCCAAACTGTCGAGGGTAGCCTTCGATCTTCGAGCCTGGTCCCCATGTTCACGAAGAACCATCACCGCCTTCTTCGCGTGTGTGGAGCGCGTTGTCCGCTGTCTCCATGGAGAACTGCGTGGACGTGTCAGTGGCGGCAACCTCAGGGAACCACAGTTACCAACACCGACCATGGTTAGTGTTTCTACTGAGCCGGAGTAAATATGGAGCGAGGAACGTGGTTGCGAGAAATACAGCGACATTTCTTTTCGTGATAAATTGTCGTGGCTGTGGTTCCATTCTAAACATCTAATTTCACAGGGATTAAACTAACCGTTGGATCATCTTGCAATTTATTCTTAGTTTTACAGATTATATTTTAGAATGATTTTACGGTTTAGATCATACCTCTCATATAAGTGTAATTTTCTATTAATTGCACAAATTTCCAGCCGCCTTTTATGTTTTAGATAAAAGAATTTAATTTAAATCGTATATCAAGTTTCAGAGATACTCTAGTATGGATGTGACGTCTATCCAAATGCTAAAAATCCTTATCCAGCATAAATCGTGCATTCGGGTTTCATGATGGAAGCGGAATAGCGTGTCAACCGTGTAAAACGTTCTAATGTCTACAAAAGAAAATACGGAGTTTCATTTCGTAAGTGCTACGGGGAGCTCAAGTTAAGATGCAAACATGAACATTTAGAATAATCGCTCTAGAGAAAAGATCAGATTGTTTATTGGATTAGGTGGAGGGCTCATCGGTGGGCAATCTGTCAAAAAAGGACCCTCCTTACATCAGGCTGTGACAATGTTGGTCCCAAAGGGACGAGTGTGATTAATGTGCAAGAGCCTGACCCTTGTGCTGCAATACCTAGCCTTGAACGACAGCTTACAGGGGGACGCCGGATGTGCCAAGGAGTCGAGGTGGTATCTGTTGGGGATCGGAGGTTGCCCGATCCAGTGGGAATTCCTAGAGAGTGACTTTCACAGGTTCGTACTCACCAAATCAGTTAACTTTCCAGCCCAATATTTCCCACCCTTTTTCCTGTACTACTCCCTCAAATCAGCTTGAGCAAAGGGTATAGTATTCCTGCATCACTTTTTTTATTTGCAGTTTTGACTTCACATTGAAATATGCATTGAATGATTTGCGCTCTATGAAATCTGTTATCAATTTTGTGTTGATAAGAGTCAACTAACACTAACCTTGAAGATTAAATTATTATCGAAGTCTTTTGGATCATTTTTTGATACAAATTGAAATAGTCATGATCAAATCATACATACATTTTGGATTTTCTCTTTTCAAATCAGAAATCATCAAATAATATTTTTCATTCAGATGAATATGAGGTGGTTACTCTTTTTGGTCATGTAACATCACTTTTCAATTTATATTTAGAACATATTGTGTCGTGTAAAAGCATCATTCCTTGTATATATTTTTATACGATGTGGCTCATTCTGACATACTGTTCTTCAACCAGCTCTATGCTCAAACAATTGAAAAGATCATAATTAGAACTAACCTATGGTACGAAATAAGAAGCATAAGGATAGTTTATTGAAAATATTTCTTTTCATTTAGCATAAAATAATTTTTTAACTACATATCAATGTATTAGTCACATATACACTTAATATATGTACATACGTACATACCAACAAAGATTTAATCGAACGAGTAAAGCTATGAGAGAGTAACAAATAGTTAACGCCTTATTTCTCAAATATATATTATCTAACAGATAATATTCAGGTTTACAATGTGATGCGTTGAATTTTATTCTGATAGTTTAGGTTATACTACTATACTAATACATATTATATTGCGCATATAAAATTCTCTTGTTATTGCATTACGTTGTAAATTTTTTGAAGATGACGCAATAGCTGCTGAGAATTAGTTCAGGAATGTTAGCTTTCTCTCAAGGCATAATGTTATTTTCAAAAGAGATGGTAGAAATATGAGAGAGATAGAGCGTTCACGTAAGAGACATCAGTTGCAAAGCACGATTCTGGATACGTAACATAGTCCTTCCCGAATCA